TGTTGTTGTGGTTGTTCTTGTTGTTGTTGTTGCGGTTGTCATTGGAGGTAGTGGCTGCTAAGGCGGCTCGCGTAGATCACTACTACCGCAGCTCGAAAGCTCAGGCGGGCTAGCGCCCGGCGAGCTGCACCTGGTGGCTGATGCTCAAGACAGATCTGCGGTTTGGTCCTCTTGGACACGGGTTGAAGATAGGCCTCTCGGTGAAGCATGACGGCCTTGTTCAACTCTATGCCAGATAAAGCGAACATTGCTCCAACAGTCGTCATCTTCACCGTGACACAGTGCGCCAGCAAAGCTTTCCTGGCCTGTTAACGACACGTCTCCTGCAGCAGCAGTCACTGCAGGGACACTGTGCATAGACGACCCTGGTGCCAGAGCTTAAGAAAGGCTTTCACTTGAGACATCCCGGGCGTTCTGCACACATGTCACGTGCAGACGATGTTCTGTCCGTCCACCGGCTCACATTCAGGCTGAATAACTTCTGACGCGCGTGTACAGTGTAATTTTGACTTCAGGCAAATCTTATTTTTGGCTTTAGGCAAATCTCACTTAGCTGGCGAACATTCATACACGTTTTTCCGCACCGCGGAAGGTGGAGAACCAAAAGATTTTGTCGATCTTGAACCGGCCGGGACCTCGGAGGTATACTAGGACGAAGGACATAGCTGCGACAAGCCAGCGTCAAGCAGCCAGAGATCGCTTTCAACATGCCTGTACATCTGCGGTTGGTTTCGTTTATGTACATATACATATACATTACGTATGTGGGTCGAACATGTGCGTGTGTGCATGCAGGTGTGTGAATCTACATGCAGCATCGTAGGTCTGCCATGTTCCGTGGCGAGCAGCACGAAAGCCTCAACTTCCGCTCCAACATGCCAAACTGTTGCGATGACATCTTGCTCCGCCTCCAGGCACCCGGTAGAAAGGACGAACTTCTTGAAGCTTGTCGAGGCTTGTGTGGCGAGTTCCTGCCCGGCATTCTCTGGACACGTACTGTAGCCATTCGTGTATGCGCCTTTGGGAAGCGAGCCTGTGGCAGTTGATACTTGCCTTTCCTGGGCAACTGTGACAACTGTGTGTCAAGCACTCATAAGCTTGATAATGGCCGGCTGGTCAAGCACAGACAGAATTTCTCCTGGGCGGCTGTGTTTCACAAGAGTTGCCTTTGAAATCTGAGACGTAGCGGTCTCAGGCTCAGCAGGCGTCTTCTGGCGTCGTGGCTCTGCAAACTGCCAGGAGCACTTGGACAAACTGGCCGCGCCTCGGGTGATCTACCACAAGGTGGCTAGAACTTCAGCTGCAGACCTGGAAAGCGCGTATGAACAGCTTTACTGCAAGCTTCAGTACGCATATCACGAGCTCCCCCAAAAGATGCTGATGCGGTTGTGTGATCCGACCAGCTCTTCGCGGACTTCTCGCAGCAGTTCCGAACCCTCATCGGCGTCAACTGCGAGAGGAGCACCTGTGCGAGCGAGAAGGGAAGTGGAGTGTCCCCGTTCTTGGCAACGTGAGAATCCGGACTCGTCTTGTGAGCAGCAGTAGCAATCAGAAGTTCGGTCGAGCGTGCAGTCAGGTCGTCAGGGCAGTTTTGGACAGCATGCATGCCCAAGCCAACTCGGATTGAGCTCGCTCCGTCAAGCTGGTTGCATGAGGACCTGTTTCCTTGATTTCCCTTGCAGAAGCGGGAACCCTAAACCGATAAACTCTCACGGCCCTAGGCCCTAATGTGAAAGACGGCATAATTAGTCAGAATGTGTCTCGGTTGTGCTTTGCCAGATCGCGAGGAGTAGTGTTCGAGGCTTGCTAAATCGCAAGCCACTTATTGTGCCCGGTGGCTGTTTGTGCTCCAGATGACCACCTACAATAAAAGCATAATGTAGAAGCCTAAGTAATTACCAATATTACTGTTCGGGGTTCCTTATCATAAACTATATAAGGGGCCCAAAACCCGATTCTAATCATTAAGGCCCCCGACATTCAGCAATCCAAGCCTCCCTTGTCAGCTTCGCGTCAGGAAACTCTTCTTCCCGCAGGAAGTCATCGTCAAGGAAGGTGGCACAGGCCAGAAGCCTTCCCGACCTAGACGACACATGGTACCCATAGAAGCCAGGGAAGGTTCCTGCTGCAAGGTCCGGGGCTGTTTCTTCATCTATGGAGAAAACAGACAGAGGAAAGCCAGTCCAGAATAGCGGAATGCTGCACAGCAATGAAGTGGAAACCAACTGATAGGAGCAACAGGGTGAGGAAGCACCACAGATCATGGGATAACGGCGACAACCCAGAATTTCAATACTTCACATTTCAACGTGGTAATGAAGTCAACATCAGCTGGACATCCTGGCAAAGAGGGCATGTTTCAGAAACTTAAGCATGACACACCAGCTAGTGGTAGCCTGGTTTGTGAGCCCTCATGAGCCGATTCGTCATGCCCGACCCTTGCGTGAGGCAACAGAATGTACATCATGAACCTTGGCAGCGCAACGGTCAAGGTGCTATAATCAGACCAGATGACCATAAGATTGCTTGGCGCATGCTGGAGCATGACACGTCTAGCAGGCTGTGCTGTAGAACTTGCCAGTGAAAAGGGTTGCGGGATGTCTAGCGTCGCAGACAGTGCTTTGCGGTTGCAGAATGGTTGCGGTGCAGTGGCGTTCAGCATGTGGAGTTGGGGGGCAGGTTGTAGCATGGCACGGTAGTTACCGGTAGTTAATAGTAGCGGTGGCTCAAACACCACGGCATGTCTGCAAGAGTCTCTGAGGCACAAACACACCCGCAACAAACGGCAGCATTGGCAACATCAACCGCAACAGGAACTGCACAATACCTGGGTTTTGCGGTACTTCTCTGTGACTGTTTTCGCATCTCCCCTCCTTGCTCACTCAACTTATCGCTGGAAGTATCAAGGATGATGTGGTTGCGCAGCGGTATTACGGAGTCTTACGTTTTCCGCACTGCTTATAGGTTCCGCTTTCCTGCTACTGGCATTACGCATGCAGGTGTCCAAGCAGTGCGTCATGCAGATCCGGGGTGGGCCGAGAGCTTACTTGCTCGAGATATCCCGAAAATCCCGGGTCGACCGTCTCGTGATCATTACCTATACGACTGTCTAGACTAGATGTTGCGATCTGTTGACCACGAGATGTCAATCATCTTGGTCAGCTTTCAGACGGCCTTAGAGGTTCTCTTTGTGGTCTGGCCTTGTGGGTCTCACAGTCGCCCCAGCCGGCTTGCGCTGTGCAAGCCGAGGTCACACTTTGGCTTCAACATGCTCTGCTCAGACAAGGCCAGTGTGTTGTTTCTGTATATAGTTCTGTTGCAATCTGAGCTCCGTCTAGTGCCGACCATGAGCTTTACAGGGCTTGAAGAAAGCTCCCGTGGCTGCCATATGGGGGTTTCCGAATATAGGGGACCCTAATATAGTACCCTAAATAATAGGATCCTTAGTATAAGGACCCCAAAATAAGGTACCCCTAATTTTCGGAAACACACATATCGTTCAGGCTTAAAGATACTCATGTCATGGCCACTTCCAGGAGCGGTACACCATGTCCATCACTACCGACACCATGCGCGGGACCGAGCCCGTTCGATGTGAGCATCTACTGATTCCGCGTGTCATCGGGCATACTACAGGGGTCGGAAGCATTAGCAAAAGGATTCCATTAAAGTCCCCATATACTTGAGTTACAAACCCTGCTCGAATGGCAAGCCTAGGACATCGTACAATTATCCCGACCCGTAAGGGAAGTCATCTGGATAACTGGATAACTCTTCGACGAGACAGATGTAGCGAGTATTCACACCCTTAGTGCTATGTTTATTGGTCGCTTTACTACTATTACTCTATTAGTACTAATATTTCGATTGTTGCTAGTACTGTCTTTGCTTCCATCATTCCCATTCTTACCATGTCGTAATTCAAACACAAAAGTAGCATCGCTGTTGTTACTGTTGTCATCAGTGCCAAGATGAGTAAATTTGCTATGAGTATGTTGTTATGGTTCTTATTGTTGCTACTGAGTCAGTCTTGGGACAGTGCCCACATGTAGAACGCTCCCTTGATCTGCTGCCACTCCCTTGCTTTGTGGTTTAGGCTGGAAGGCTTCAACTCGTATACAGGAGAGGTGCAGTTCAGAGCACTCGATTGTTTTGAGGTGCCAGGTGCTTGTGGTGACGAGGCTGCGAGCTCGGATGCAGGTTGTCCTTGTTTCACAGGGTTAACAAGACTTACGTGAAGATGTCTCCACATGTGGAATTTACATGATTTGGTGCCTGGCAATGCCTTTTGCCGCGAGCGCACTGTAAATCTTGCAGCTTCGTCAGCCAAGCGATCAGATCGTAGGGATCACGTCAAGAGTGCGTTTTATGAGAGCGCCCCAGACACTGGACACGTGCACTGCAATATCAAACACACAGACTGACAGAGACAGAGAAGTGCAGACGCAGAACGGTCCTTGGCCGAGGTCCAGCTACCAGCATGCACTGAGCAAGTACCCGGAGATGAGAGAAGTGGCCAAGCAGCTCGAGGCTCTTCTTGGGTCAAAGGTCCACTCCAGGGGTGGAATCCTTAGGATCCGGACATGGAAAGGCTCGAAAGGCCGCTGTGTGTCACAGTGTTCCAAAGCCGCGTGCACAATTTGTAAGATCATTGCATCTCTCTTGCATCCTGCTTCAGACGCGACGATGCAGATGCAATGAACTACAGAAGAAAGGAAATCCCTGATGTTCAGGCACGAGAGCGAGCTCGTGAGCGAAAGCAGTTTGCACAGTTCACCAAGCTGGCCAGCAACTTACTACATTGCGCCAGAGACCGTTCAAGGATTGCAAATGTACGGTGACTCGCTTCAACACGGTGCAGCTGCTTCAACAACCCCCCGGCTGCCACTGCGAGTACGAAGGGTGTTTCTTGCCACCCACCCTTCCCGCAACCGCCGTTGTGGTACCATGACAACTAACAACTGCCGACGACAACGAAGGTGCAGCGGCGGCGAGGATTGCGCTACCTGGTGGAGGCTGGGCATCAAGTGACACATCGTAAAATGAGTGGGAGTTTCCGAAAATTAGGGGTACCTTATTTTGGGGGTCCTTGTAATAAGGGTCCTACTATTTAGGGTACTATATTAGGGTCCCCTATTTTCGGAAGCTCCCGAGTCATGCTGACTTCGAAAGCAGCTTTGCCTTTCAACATCTACGGACCGGTTTCGTCCTTTTCTCACTCAGATACTTGTAGCGGTTGGCTGCTGTCGCATGCTGTTGCTTAAGATGAACCGCGACAGCTACGTCTCCTCATCGGAGCTCAAAGCTGGCTATCCCAGCATGAGAGTGCATGAGACAAGAGATGGCAACAGACTCAGAAGCCTGTCGAGCAATCTCGCGGAAGTGGGCCATTGTGACCATTGTGAGGCACTTCGGGATGGTGTTCTCTCGGATGCCAGAACTGCCGTGCCTTGGATCGCATTGCCCTGAAACCCGAACCGTCTACTTTTTCGGATCTTACTTACACATGCTGGTAGTTTCGTGGAGCTCTTCCAGCACCGAAAGCTCTCACAGAGGAGTGCACGACCGATGTCCCCGTTGGGCAGCACTACAGTTTCCCATCTTGTGTGTATGTAGGGTTTTGGGGATCCAGAATGCCGGGTCCCTAAAGCCGATCTCGCTGTGATACTATGAAGCCTGCTCTGCAGATGAATGACAATCACAAGACGACGCTGCTCTCCGTTATTCGAGGCCGCCGCCGTGTCCGCTTCAGAGGGAGAACTGTACCAACTGTCGTCATCACATCATCCCATCATCATCATCAGCAGCATATCTAACCTTCACCATCATCGTCATCACCATCATCATCACCATTCTCACCGTCATCACCTCCACCACGACCATCATCACCATCATCATCATCCTGATCATCCTGACCATTGCCCGTATCACAGCGATCCTCATCGCCTCACGTCTGTCCTAATTCTCACCATCGCAGTGGCCAGATCGCTTGCAGTTGTACTTGTACTTGCCATCATATGTAATAACAACACTGCTGCGAATAGTTGGAGCAATGGCGCATGGCAAAACGCTTGGGTATGCTGCCGGGTTGCTGCTAGCTAGCAGTGCGGCTGACCTACATCGCGTGTTGTTCATGTTGCATCCGTACGATGGCTTCGTGGGGCCCACATGCAGGAGCAAAGCTGCTTCCACAAGCACCCCAAAACCTCAAATGCGCCGCTTTCCAGGCTGGCGACACGAGGTCGCCAAGTGCGGCAGCCCAGAGAAACCACAGCGACCACAACAGTAGGAGCCGGTCTTGGTGCTGCACCTGCATGTCCAGGAGTAGATCATGTTCCTGTTGCATTCGGATTGAAACTGGGGTTCGAGGTTTATCGGAATGGGGCTGCAACCCTGCTCAACGTAGAGTCCCTAAACTTCGAAGCGAGCCGTAAAAACTAAGCCACAAATGTCCTCAACTCACACGTTGATATCACGGGAGCCCTTGTAGGAATCTCTATATGGGAGTTTCCGAAAATTAGGGGTACCTTATTTTGGGGTCCTTAAAATAAGGATCCTACTATTTATTTGGGGTACTATATTAGGGTCCCCTATATTCGGAACCCCCCCTGTTAACCTTGTAGGACATCTCAGTCTTTCCGCTGAAGCGCGAGGTCTGCTGAGATCCGGCGCGAAGATGAGCAGACCGGGTCTCATCTTTCCAGAAGGTTTAGGGTTCAGGAGTTTAGGGTTTCGGGTTTAGGGGTTTAGGAGTTTAGGGTTCAGGGTTTTAGGTTTAGGGTTTAAGGTTTTAGGGTTTAGGATTTTAGGGTTTAGGATTTTAGGGTTCAGGGTTTGTCTCGGGCAGAGGACTCGTGGTACGACTGGCAGTAGCGCCGTGCCAGCTCTCTGTTCTTCGCTGTCTGATTGATGCACTGATCGCTGCTGCTACTACTAATGCTACTACTACTACTACTACTACTACTACTACTGCTACTACGGCTTCTCCTCCTGCTTTCACTGCTGCTACTATCTTGGGGTTTTAATTCAAGACCGATAGAAGTACCCCACGCCACCTGCCCACCACTCCACGGAAGATTCACGGAAGGGCCTTCCCCTAACCTTTCAGGCACGAATTCCAAAGCAGTTAACCATCTCTGGTGTTTAGACGCGACCATTATATCACACTTATATCTGTACACGGCGGGTTACAGCCACCACTGCAGCCCAGGCTGCGCATGTTCAATGATGCGCAGATCAACAAGTGGTTGCAGAAGAGGCCGGGGGTGCTGACAAGCGCGCTCTAAACACTTAAGCTGGCTCAATTGGGTGCAGTGTGCAGCAGGGGTCAGGAAATATATGGGTAGTTTTCAATATTAGGGTCCCGTTTAGGGTCCTTTTTATAAGCATTCCGTACTATATTGGGGACCTAAAAATCTACCCTGGTTTAGAGAACTACCCATATGGAAATCCCAAGCCCCAAACCTCGACCCCGAGCACCCGAAACCACGAAGCCTGAGCAGGAAGGAGCAGTTGGCTAATGTCCGCCCCGAGCGCGAGCTCACGCGCGACATGATCAACAGCCTGGCATCTCGAGGTCGGTTGTAGAATCATGTTTAGCTTGCTTTCGATTGCAAGTACGCCCTATGGGATTTGATTGCAATGTTTGAGTTATGGTTATGATCCGGGTGTGATGAGCATCGCTGTGATTGCTTTCGTGGCGGTTGCCATCAAAGTCCACCTTGAGGCTAGTCAGTGCCAGCGGTCCAGGGCTATCCACAACCCCGCACACGGTAGCGACGGCAAAGATGTCTTCTGCAGACCCGCTTCTTTATAACTATTTTAATTGGGTGTATAATTATACTTATAAGTATAGTTACGAGGTCAGCGCTGCCCCATGCCTTGCCCCTGCGCAGGACCGGTGCAGCGCCAAAAGCGGAAGCCGCAGGTGCCTCTGGCCACAACTATAAGACCACATCTATAGGAAATGGCGTATAGTATGCTGTATTGCATGATGTTGCATTGAACAGTTATTTTAGTATATGGCAAAAGACTACAGTATAGTAATTATGTATGGAGCCGTGAAATGTATGGTTGTGCTGAATTCTGCGAGCCAGGAGCCTCCGAACATCGCCTCCGGGGCGGCTGACTGGAGCGTCAAGGAGGCCTGATATACAGCCTTATACACTATAGCGTAACTTAGAGTTAGCGCAGTATAGCCAAACATACGACAATATAACATAAGTTGTCAGGAAATGTAGAGTAGCCTTGGAATGCCGGATTTGGCCACAACAGCCTTGCAAAAGCGAAACGAGCAGTACAATCAGCGCATATCATTTGTGGTGAAGGTTCATGGCTGCAGCATTTGCTTCGCGGCTAGGCAAACGATTTAATTTCCTTATAGTCGATACCCTAATCGATACTCGCCAGGTCTTTGTGTGAGCCACTGCCTACTTGGATGGAATCATTGGTACTGCTGCTCTCACTACTATTCCTACGGATGCTACCATGATTACTATTACTTTATTACGCATATTGCTATTCTTGAGGTCAGAGCAAAGAGATACCTCCTATGAAACTTTCGCCGGACCCCGACAGGACCCCGAAATATGCGCTAGACCAGAAACAAGAGCTATTGACAACCGCTCATATAGAACAAAACAACTTACATAACATGGTATATTTTTCTTCAGACTCAACTGTTTACAACGCTCTACGAAGTACCCCAAGGACCGAAGGTTAGGTACAGATTTGTCGGCTTCTTGTGCAACATGTACCCTTCTTGAAAACATGAGTATGCGTGGGATTCGACAGTGCTACTCTGCTACAGAGGCTGGGTGATTTGCAGAATTGGCATCACCTTGTCTGTGTATGTCGCAAGATTCTGCACAGAGCTGTAATTCCGCAACTAATGTAATCGTGAAGAACTGTGCGTGGCGAGACACCCGGCGGTCACAATAGTTTCAGCCGAGGCCTTGCCCGAGGTACCCCTGATGCCAAGATTTATGTAGCGGATTGGCGAGGTAGGCCTTGGAGACATTTTACACTTGCCCTGGCTTGGGCTTGGGAGGAGCTGACTTACGAATGTTGTTCGATGGCATGAAATGACCCAGCTAGTTGGCGCCCTGAAAAGACAGTTTGTTCCTCATTAGGGATATATTATAATACCAGAAAATAAATAAATACAATACCACATAACGTAATGCAGCATAACCCAGTATGATATTATCTGATATATGGTTTGCATTATCCGTGTTGCAGGAGAAGATTCGAGACTGGACGCCGTACAATACTCCGGCTCCTGTTTGGAGGCACGGGCTCAGGAATACTGAAGTCAGCGACCACAATGAGAGGGATTCTCAAAAAGTAAGCATACCTCAATATTTCATGATATAGGCATTCTTGAGATCCTCCTACTTAGGGTTCGTATTAGGGTCCGTCATTGTCGTGAAGCTCGCATGTAGCGTGCAGGGCAGTAAAAAAACAAAGAAGATCTTCGTCGAGAAGCATCGAAGCATGGCAGTGTGCTGCGCATTCTACCGCATTCACCCTAAACCTGAAAAAGCACATGCTTAAACGCTTAAACGGTGCGTGATCAAAGGGATGCTTGCATGTAGCTACATCGAACAACCGCCCAAGACTGCAAAGCTGCCAAATACGCATATTAGATGCATATGTACTGCACATATGATGTGCATGATTACAGTGTACCGTCGGTACATCAGATCCACCAACTTCCGCAACTGCGAGCGCATGAGAAATTGTCGCACAGATTAGCTGCATGCGCGTACATGAATGTGTACCACTGTCTTAAATACGCACATATAACTCATCATGACTAGGTGACTAGGTACGCAAAGTGAAAAACGACCGTCTACAGAATTGTGTGGCACCCACGTAACGCAGCCAAAGACGCTCGTAGACGCAGCACAACAACAACAAGAACAACAAGAACAACAGCAACAACAACAACAACAACGCGCCAACAACAACAGCAACCGCAACGGCAACCGCTGCAACTACAACAACATCTACTTCCTTCCTTCCTTCCTTCCTTCCTTCCTTCCTTCCTTCCTTCCTTCCTTCCATTCGCGGCGAACGTCCGGCGTCCACCTGGCGAGTCGGCAGGCTCTGCCTGGCTACCGGGGCAGCATTGTCTTAGACAATCCTGTAAAGAGCATCAGCCCCAAGAAGGCAGCGACACCGCCCCGAAGGGCCCAGCGTGCCAACGACCCGGGCCGAAGCCCAGCAGTCTCTGCCCCAGGAGAAAAGCATTAAGAAAGCGAACTGCACAGTGTTTACAAAAGGACATCAAAGTGATCTATCTTTCCAGCGCGAGTAGCTCCACCTGACAACGGCAGCAAGTTAACAACATCTACTACCACTACTACTACTACTACTACTACTACTACCACTACTACTACTACTACTACTACTACTACTACTACTACTAGTACTACTACTACTACTACTACTACTACTACTACAAGTACTACTACTGCTACT